CTATGTATGTATATATATATATATATATATATATATATATAATGCTGAGATTAGCCCACTAGCTTATATGAATATATGTATTCATATGAGCCCAATGGCCCAAATTGAATCTGGGCTGATCTAACAAGCACGGCCTAATTTCGTATTTGAATTTTTAATGTTTTTTTTACAATTCCAAATAACTTGAAATTTTAGGCGTGTGTTTTTCAAAAAGAAGATAATCTAAAAAAAATATCAAAAAATTAATTTACAAGAAATAAATTGACCAAAATACCCCTAAAAAGTTTCAGGGGCATTTTGATCAATTTATTTTTTACGAATTATTTTTTAAATATTTTTATACGTGCACCTTGATGAGAAGAATGGACAGCCTAAAATTTCAAGTTATTTGGATTTGTATAAAAAAAATTAAAATTCAAACACGAAATGAGGTCGTGACCGTCAAATTGGTCCAGATTCAATTTGGGCTCTTCGGCTCATATGTTCATATGAGCTAGTGGGCTAATCTCAACATTTTTCATATATATATATATATATATATATATATTACTCACTAACATAACTTTGTGTCTCATTATTAAATAATTTGTGTACATGTCTAGCATGGATTTCTGTATTTTTGTGATGCATAACATCTAGAAACTCCTAAATCTATGCATGCATGCTTTTGTTTATGTATGTCTGAGGTCATACATATGTATTACATGAATTTATATATGAATGCATGTATCTATTACCCATTAACATGGCCTCACGCTTGATGATGAAATAATTAGTTGTGAATGGTGGTGAACCCGGATTTGCTCTGATACAGGTTGGGAGTAACAATCACATATTTTGTTGGTCATGCCAAATCCATTATTGCGGTCTGTGCCGTAAGGTTGTGCGACGGTTGTCCCAGCATTATGGGCGCAAGGGTTGTAGACAACACTCTTGAGTATTGAAGCATTTCTCGCCCTTTCAAACCAATGAATCACGCCATCCATTTCTCCAGTGAGTTTCTTTGTTCCTTGCAGTAAATTCCATAAGCTGGCTCTTTTCATAAATGATGATGGTGACGATGATGCTAAATTTTGTTCTTCTTATTGCTACAGGCCCTGTTTGGGCAGACCAAATCTTAGGAACAGGGCCAATGTTTTCCCTCCACCCCATTAGGGAGTGAAAGATCGCTGCTTTTGATGTGCTCCATTCATGGGCCAACACCCCCTTCCAATGCCCTGTTTATCAAGAAAATGCAGTGAAAACATCTGTGACCCTGCAAAAAATGAAGAACCTGTGTTTTCCTCCATTTATAAATTACTTATTTCCTCTGTATAGGTAAGACCATCAAAACAGTACAAGTTTACTGGTGCCGTGTAACGGTTGACGGATGTCATTGCATTGTACCAAATTGGATCTGAACCCCCTGTTCACAGGGGCTTTCAATTCTTTGTGCAATAAAGTTCGTCATACTAAAGTTATAGGTTTTTCTTGTACAAATAAAAAAGTGTTACTTTCTCTTGTTACGTTCCATTGTGCATTTTGTTTATCAGTTTCAGATCAAGCTTCTTGCCAAAATGTTTCTGATTCATACTTAAGTACTCTTAACTAAGATTGGTTGTGTGGTATTTTGAGCTTTATGTTGGAGCCCCTTGAAATTTCCTTTTTGGCCAATAGAATATGTATGCAAATTTTGCGGCGAAAAAAAATTGGCATGGACAATCTAGCCATTCACCATATGATCTTTATATTTCCCCATGGTCAAATTGACTAATGAATCATTAAATTGAGTTCAAGACAGGCTTAACGAAATATATGTTAGAGACGTGGTAGGCAAAATCATCGTCCCATAGAAATCTTGATTAGGTAAACAAAATAAAAAATCCAACCAGATAACTAACCCTTGGTTATATTTGGGTATGTCAAACAAAATTTGGATATTCAAATTTTTAAAAATCTGAATAAAGGCATTGCCTTGCTTTCTTTATATTTGGATTTTATATTATCATGATATATCTTTTTATGTGCACGTTTGTCCAACTGTATTTCAATTTTTTTATAGATTTGAAATTTTTCGACTTTATGGCTGTGAAAATTATAATTTTCGATTTTTATATTTGGCACATTTTTTTAGGATGGCTTTGGTCCACTGTGTTTTAATAGCGGATAAACAGATGAAAAAGAGTGATGTTTCAATAGCTCTGAAAGTATGAAGTATTGTGGAGCAGCATAAGGAGACATTCAGCAGCGAAAGCCATTACCAGAGCTTCATTATGTTCCCTTGAAACTGAAGAAAAGCTTCTTCCACATAATCTCAGAGCTTCCACTAGTTCTTGCTTTGACTTTTGTAATTATGGCTGAAAACATGCCTTTGAATCCAAAGGAAAGCACCCCATCTGTCCTCTTCTCAGCAGAAAACCAGAGTTCCCTGTCCAAGTCCAAAGCCCTATCGTCAATTCAAGCTCCAATGAGAGGAAGAAAAAGAAGCCAACCGTCACGCTTGAAATTACATCGACTGGTGAAATAAACTTTTTTATCTCCCCCATACTCAAGCCATCTCTATCTACCAAACCCAAGCCTTCTCTCTCCCTTAAACCCAACAAGCCTTCTCTCTCCACCAAAACCAAATTCAATACGAAATTAAACCCCACGTTGATTAAAATCCAGCACTGAAAGTTTCTAGAACATCTGTGAATAGACTCACTGAGAATAAGAAAGTTAAGAGCAGTGAGACTAAGATAATTAATACCAAGGGCTCATCGGCTGCTGAAGACAAGAAAAAACCCAAAGCAGTGACTCCCCTTTCACCTTCTACCAATGGAATCATGAGACAGGAGCAGCAGCTTAAACCAGTGACCCCAACCTCACCTTCCAAGCCTGTTGGTAATGGAGTTATTTTACATGAGGTCAAACCCAAACCTGCGAACTCTTTTTCTTTACCTTCCTCTGCGATTGAGTTATTTCAAAAAAGCAAAAACCCAAACTTGTGAACTTTTTATCTTCACCATCCTCTAGTAATAAAGTTACAAATTTTCGTAATGGAGTTGTTTCAAAGAAGAAAAAATCCCAACTTGTAAACTCTTTATCTTCGCCATCCTCTAGTAGTGGAGTTGCAGGTCTTCTTAGTGGAGTTATTACAGAAAAGAGAAAATCCATGCCTCTGTTCTTCAGCTAATGGCATTGGAGCCTTAAGAGAGACAAGGCCTATGAAAACTTCTCCTTTGAATAAAACCTCAATTGAGAAAAGCATAAGCACAGTCGCCAAAGATTCCACTAGTCAAGCAGTGGGGTGGCAATCAGGTCGTTACTGAGTCGACCTGAACTGGGTCCAAGTCCAGGTCCTGATATAGGTATCACCTGGCAGGTCGAGTCCGAGTCTAAGCGACTTGGACCCAACCTGGGCTAGGCCAGGTCCGGCTTGAACCCTATCAGATCTGGTCTAGGGCTAGGATGGGGTTGACCTGACCCAACCCAACTTGGAATCGATTAGTATAAAACAATCAAATTCAGGTGCACCCTAAAACTTTGTCATGAGATGCAATTTTAGTGTCGAAAATTCTTTGGATGTCATGAGAACCTATTTTTATCTCTACTTTAAAAAACCTGCAAAACTCTAAAAATGGTTCAAATCAAGCAAAATTATAAACGCATGAAAATCTAAAAAGTCGATGGTTCAGATAATGTGTTGCAAGATGTACTATTTTTAAGACTTGAGATCTCTTTTTTTCTCCATATCTATACATTTCAATGTCGAGATGATCAAATAGATGTTTTTCCAACATCAAAAGAAGCTAAGGATTTTAGAGGTGCACCTTAATTCTACATTTTAAGGTATCAATTTTATATAAACTTTTGCCGCTTAAAAAATAAATTTTTTTTTATTTATTTATAATCCGGATCCCGTGGATTGGATCCGCGTCCAAATGACTTGAACCTGACCTGAGTCCAGGTCAAATCCAGATCGATGTTATCGTAGTTGGGTTGGCATCAAGCTAATCCTAGCTTTTTGAACCTGACCTGAGTCCAGGTCAAATCCAGATCGATGTTATCGTAG